TTTTCAAGTTTACTATCATGAGCAATTATTACACCTTGATAATTAAAAATGAGATGGGGGCAATTTTATACATGATGGAATTTCTAAGCATTCATATTGGTCCCACTCCCTACCATTTCAGAATTTATTTTACCAAATAAAACCAATTCGTATGTGTTCCATGGTCTATGCTAAAGAAAAATGCTTAACTGATCTATCTCAGTATGTACAAATAACAAGTAGTAGTTCACTACCGACCTACTCACAATAAAAGAATACTCAATAACTCTAGTTCATTAACTCTATTTATCTGTAACTATAATACTGTATTCTTTGATGCAGGACAACAATCCATACAAAGGAGCTAAAATGTTCACATAATAATAGATGCAGTTATGGTACTCTATAAATAATACTTTAAATAAACACTCATTCACCTAAAGCTGTTACTATCTGAACTCAGGATGAAATTACTGGTAGAATCCAATCAGAATTACTCTAGCCCTAACTGAAATCATGTAGGGCTTTTAATTGCTGAACAAAAGAAAACCATTAGGATCTCCTGATTGGAGGCCAAGAATTCTACTGCTGATATGAACTCTGGACTGTGCTGTTATCTGCAGGGTAACTTGCTCTGTTGATCAATACCTTGGATCAGTAAGTGATGACTGATACTGTGCCTAGTGAGTCTAGATATTATTCACTCGGAAGTTGTTTTGTTCTCCAAGGTTACCCCAACCAGAACTGTTAGCCCATTTAATATTTTGATATCCATTAAGGTTAGGTTAAATTATGTTACTTTTGGGTAAATTAAAGCTCCATAGGGTCTTCTCATCTTATTTTTTTATTCCCCTACTCTTCACAGGAAGGTAAAACAGATTAGGATAGCAAGTGTTACATGAACTGAGAGAGGGTTGACACTCCCCTTTACAAGGATGGAAGAGACTCCCAGGCCTAACAACACATATATGGTTAAGGAACTGCCACCTACTTTGAGGCATTTAACCATCGTTTTTTAAGAAACAGACTCTTAACAATAGAGAACAAACTGATGGTTACCAGAGGGGAGGTGGGTGTGGGATAGGTGAATTAGGTGATGAGGATAAGGAGTACACTTGTCATGATGGGCACCGGGTGATGTATGAAGTGTTGAATCACTATACTACACACCTAAAACTAATAGTACACTGTTAACTAACTGGAATTTGAATAAAAACTTAAAAAAAAAAAATGTTCAGGGTGCCTGGGTGGCTCAGTGGGTTAAGCCTCTGCCTTCGGCTCAGGTCATGATCTCAGGATCCTGGCATCAAACCCCCGCATTGGGCGGCGGGGGTGGGGGTGGGGCTCTGCTCAGCAGGGAGCCTGCTTCCCCTTTGCTCTCTGCCAGCCTCTCTGCCTACTTGTGATCTCTCTCTCTCTCTCTGTCAAATAAATAAATAATGTCTTAAAAAAATAAATGTTCATAGATAAAAAAATAAAATAATATAAAATAACATAAAATAAAGTATCACTGACTCTAAGGGGAAAAAAAAGATTAGGATAACAAGGAATATACTAAGAGGGATATACAACCAAGCCCACACACAAAACACAAATACTGAGGTTTAAAAAGACACATTTGGGGCACCTGGCTGGCTCAGTCGGTGGAACGTAGGATTCTTGATCTCAGAGTTTTAAGTTCAAGACCCACAGTTGACATAGAGATTACTTAAAAATAAAATCTTTGAAAGCAAAAAAGAAGACACATTTTTAAAAGCTACTTAGCTATGAAACACAGCAACAGAGATGAATCCCAAAAGCATTATGTGGAGTTAAAGCAGCCAGACACAAAATACATAGTATATTTCACTTACATAAAGTTCTAGAACTGGCAGAACTAAGGCATAGAGATGTAAATCAGATCAGCATTTGCCTGGAGTGGGGCAGGGGGAAGTAGGCAGGATTGACCAAAAAGAGGTAGTAGGGACTTTCCTGGGGAGTGGAAATGTTTGGTATTTTTCATGGACAAAGTGATGAAACAGGTGTCTGTATTTACCTAAATTCACCAAACGTTACACTCTGCGCTCATTTGTTTTACAATCACACCTGTAGTAGAATAGTCATTTAAGTTACACCTCTAATTTTCAAGTTTTTACCTAGAAAAGGAATCCAATCTAAAAATTACTTCCCTTTTCAAATCAAAGGCTTTTCTCAGCCTGAGCAAAATCTTCATTCATCTAGCTGTTCAGCCAGAAATGAGAGGGTGATTCTTGCCACCTCCTTCTCTGTCACCAAGTCCTGAGGGCACAGCTCGAAGACACCACAAATCCATTCACTTCTCCCCTTTCAGGGACACCACCATAGTTCAAGCCACTGTCAGTTCGTACTGGATCCAAGGTAGTACCCTCCTAACTGGTCTTCAATTTCCACATGGTAACTGGTCCTAGTTCAAAACCTGTGATCTGCCAGGGTCACTCTCTTGGTCAGAGCTCTTTAATGCATTCCCACTGACCTCAGAACAAATTCTAAGATCTTTAACAGGACTCTCACACATCCTCTTATCACCTCCCCCATGGCAGTTACCAACTCTTACACCATTCAGCTCTCCATGCTCCAGCCACATGACCTTTTTGTAGCGTCCTGCAGGTCAACAACTTCCATGCCTCAGAGCCCTCCTTAAGGTTGTTCCCTCAGCCTTAGGATAGGATAATTCCTTATCTTGCAATTATTCTAAGTTAATGAGACTCTCAAACAATAATTTTCAAGTTATTATGAGGCTGAGAATACCAAAACAGAAATATAGTCCAGAAAGCTACACAGAAAATTCATGACAAGGGAAGGGGGGAGGGGTCGAAAATCAGTGTTACTTTGGGGCACCCGGCTGGCTTAGCCGAATAAGCGTCTGACTCTTGATTTTAGCTCAGGTTGTGATTTTCATGGTTGTGAGGTCGAGCCCCACCTCAGACTCCATGCTCAGCGTGAAGTCTGTTTAAGACTCTCCTTCTGCTCCCCCAACTCGAATGCAAACATTCTCTCTCTCTAAAATAAATAAATACATCTTTTTAAGAATTAGTGTTATTGAAAACATATGCAATTCTATTTGTAACTTTCTTCCTTCAGCAAATGTCTATCAGGCACCTCTTATGTGTCAGACACTGCTCCAAGAGCTAGGAACAGAACTGTCCATGTCCCAGTTCTCAAGAAGCCAGCATTCTCATACCAGAATAATAATGGGACTGATATCAGATGGAAATAAGTATTTTTTTTATTATGTTCAGTTAGCCACTGTGTAGTACATAATCGGTCCTTGATGCCATGTGCAGTGATTCATTAGTTAAGTATAACACTCCATGCAGGAAAGAAGGATTATGAAGAAAAGTAAAGTGAGGCAAGGGGGTGAAGAGTAAGGCACCAAAATGTGCCCACTCATGCCACAGAGCAGCGTTCAGCCTTACAGGGAAGGAAACTGAAACAGCAGAACGTGGACAAACCCCAACAACATCATGGTGGTGAAATAGAGCCGGTCACAAAACAACAAATACTGCACGATTCCACTCAGGTAGGTCCTGAGAGTACTCCAGTCACAGGTACAGAAAGTAGAATGGTGGTGGCCAGGGGCTAGTGGGAGGAGGAAGGGAGGCAGTGATTCCATGGGACCGACTTTCGGCTTTACAAGATGAACAGAGTTCTGGAGGTGGGTGGTGGTGATGGCTGCACATTATAAATGTACTTAGTACCACCGAGCTGTGCACTTAAATATAATTAAGATAGGAAATCTACAGCTATGTGTATTTTACCATAATCAAAAATTTTTGTAATATTGCCAAGGGAAAAGATTTCCAACCTAGAATCCTACAAAAAAGGAGTACAGGGCTGCCTGGGTGGCTCAGCCGCTGAAGCATCTTCCTTCAGCTCAGGTCATGATCCCAGGGTCCTGGAACTGATTCGGGCATCCGACTCCTCACTCAGTGGGGAGCCTGCTTCTCCCTCTGCCTGCTGCTTCCCCTGCTTATGTGTGCATGCTCTCTGTCTCTCTGACAAATAAAATCTTTAAAAAAAAAAAAAAGGAGTACAGTATATAGCAAGGGTTCCTTCTCGTTAGGCTGTTTTATTAAGGTGGGTGAGAGATGAGCACTTAGGTAACATGACCTCTGAGCAGAAACCTGAATGAAAAAATAGGAACTTCATTAAATTCTATGATTCTTAAACTTTTCCAAGTTTGCACTAAAAAGACTAAAAAGACTGAAGCATGGCAATGTCTTCTCTTTTTTTTTTTTTAAAGATTCTATTTATTTATTTGAGAGAGAGACAGTGAGAGAGATCATGAGCGAGGAGAAGGTCAGAGAGAGAAGCAGACTCCCCGCGGAGCCGGGAGCCCGATGCGGGACTCGATCCCGGGATTCCGGGATCACGACCTGAGCCGAAGGCAGTCGTCCAACCAACTGAGCCACCCAGGCGTCCCAATGTCTTCTCTTTTTGAACAGAGGAACAACATGAAGGTAGAGATGGGGTTAACCGTGGGGAAGAAGAAGTTAGGGAATTACATGATACACCTGGTGAAGCTGTTTGAAACAATTTTTTATCTTAAGAGCTGACGTATCCTGGGGCACCTGGCTGGCTCAGTCAGAAGAGCAAGCAACTCTTGATCTCAGGGTCATGAGTTAGAGCCCCACACTGGGTGTAGAGATTACTTAAATAAATAAACTTTCATAGCATGTCCTCTTTCTCCCTCCAACCTCTCTCCCTACCTCCAGAAGAAAGAATTATCACACTCATTTTCTCAAGTTAAAGATGAAAGTAACTGCCCAATTTCTTAACTGGTAGCTACTAGAGGAGGAAGTACTCAATTCTGTAACTTATTAATTGAGCATTGACAAGAAACACAGGACAAAGATAAGGACGTAATTTTAGCTAGGGTGAAAAAAAAAGTAGAGAATGGTCCCAAAGCTAATGTATTTATTTTACATGGTAATCAATGAGATTCAATCATCACAACATTTCTTCATAATAAAGCTCCAAGAATTCCTTCTGGTATACTTTACCTTCCTGAAACCACCAGAGTTCCATCATCAAGTAAATAATCCTTCACATTCTGCGGAAGTGGAAGAATGACGCTTTGGAAAAAAAAAAAAAAAAGGCATTTATCAAAAAGGCATCATTTTAAAAGACTAAACATAAGCAGAGAGAAAAAAAATCAAAATTCAATTTTTTAATTACTTATTTCCTTTATTTTTAATATATGGTAGGAAATGTTAATGATGTACATTTGGGGGTGCCTGGGTGGCTCAATGGGTTAAGCCTCTGCCTTCGGCTCAGGTCATGATCTCAGGGTCCTGGGATGGAGCCCCACATCGAGCTCTCTGCTCAGCAGAGAGCCTACTTCCCCCTCTCTCTCTGCCTGTCTCTCTGCCTACTTGTGATCTCTCTGTCAAATAAATAAATAAATAAATAAATAAATCTTTTTAAAAAAATGTACATTTGGTAGCAGCACATTAAAAATTAGAATAATATGAATAAATCTTGTGGTAAACTAACTTCAGCTCATGCACTACCACAATCATGGTAAAACAAAACCAGACAAATCCGAAGAACCATACTGAAATCACAGTATGAAACGCATCAGCTCAAGAGAATTTTGAGTGAGTATCTATGTCTTTAAGAAATCAGAACCAGGAGGTATTTGCAGCAACACAGAAAATGTAGCACACAAAGCAGAAACACCATCTGACCATCTTCTAAGATAGAGGGCAGAGGCAGACTTAGGATCTGGAAACCATTCTTTGGTTGACAATGAGAGTGAAGGGCTAAGAATTCATGATGTGTCTGGGTGTGTTCTGGTGGCTTTCTGTTCAACTGACTGCCAGAGCTATAAAGCTGTATTAGTCTACTCTGTTTCAGATAATTAAGGGATGGCAAAGCCATAACTGGAAGTCATTGCAAAATTTCATGGGATCATTAGATTTTTTTTACTCTGTAATAATAAATCATGAAGCAATTCTTCCGCAGGTACATAAAAGGAACGCTATTATTTTGAGGTATATATTCTTTAAAAAGTAAAAAGAAATGATGGCCTGCTTTCAAAGAGTCAAGAGAACATCATCGACTTATGCATCATCTACTTACTTTCTGGCACATTAAAAATGTTTTGTGGGGCGCCTGGGAGGCTCAGTAGGTTAAGCCTCTGCCTTCAGCTCGGGTCATGATCTCAGGCCCTTGGGATCAAGCCCTGCATCAGGCTCTGCTCATCAAGGAGCCTGCTTCCCTCTCTCTCTCTCTCTCTCTGCCTGCCTCTCTGCCTACTTGTGATCTCTCTCTGTCAAATAAATAAATAAAATCTTTAAAAAAAAAAAAGGTTTTTGTGCACAGAAAACATTATTCATGGACTATTTCAGTTTTAAAGATTAACAGCTGATCTATCAAATTCATAATTTTACATTCAAAAGCCTAGTCCTTCAGGATTTTAAGGTCAACCACCCGATCTTACTATTCCATTTGTAAATTTGCTAAATTTTAACCAATTTCAAGTGAGCCTTTGAAACTTAAAAGTTGCTTAAAATTTTTAAACTCTACTATCAAAAGAATTATCCAATTTTATTTTTAAATATGTCAACTGTCTAATCACAAACAAGCCTTCCTAAATATTTAGCTTGTAATGAACCCAGCAAACTAAACCATAAATGCAGTCAATCTGAGGTTCTTGCACACATTCCAATACTACCTAAAATCTTGAAAAATTTTCTTACTCATTTTCAAAGTTTATCTTCTCGGGGGCCCGAGCCTGAGCAATGCTGGCAGGAAGGCCAGTTCCCAGACATCTACCGTGGTTTTCCTGACCCCAAAGAGAGCCCAGAGTCCTCTCCCCTGCTGGTCGTGTCTCTAAGCCCCCAAATCAATGTTTTCAGAGTCCATGTCCATCATTTTTGAGTTACACTCAATCAGACTCAAGTCTGATTTTTGAATCTGGACTTTCCCTCCAGGTTGCATCACCCCTTCACCAGATTCAAAACATCTTGTTTATTGTTGGATTCTATTCTGAATTCTTTGCATATTCTTCCTACTGGAGAGTCTTCAACTCTTACAGACACTAGCTGACATCTAGATCCCACTTACTTCTCATGGGTCACTGACTTCTAGAGCCCCAGTTCTGAAGTCATCCTAATGAGCTTATCATGCATTACGTTACGTACGACAAGGAGGATACCAAAGTGATTCCATTAAGAACTGAAAGCCTATGATGGGGGAAAAATACAAAAGGAAAAAAAACCTACAGTACAACATGTTAAGTGCTGTCCCAGGGAGGGTGTACCAAGTGCTGCCAAAATTCAGAAGAAGGGGAGGTGCCGGGGTAGTTCAGTTGGTGGAGCCTCTGCCTTCAGCTCAGGTCATGGTCCTGGGGTCCTGGGATCGAGCCCTGCATCAGGCTCCCTGCTTGGTGGGGAGCTTGCTTCCCCGCCCCCCCCTCTCTCTGCCTGCCTCTCTGCCTACTTGTGATCTCTGTCAAATAAATAAAATCTTACCAAAAAAAAAAAAAAAAAAATTCAGAAGAAGGAACTGTGCGTGAAAGACTGAGGCCATAAATAAGTCAATGCCAGGGAAGCTTTTCACAAACCTAACAAGGCTGTCAGAGAAGAGCTTAAGTCGGGTCATTGAAATCCAAGTGCAGGTGAGAATCCAATGAGGCCTGACAGATGTAAAAGAATTAAATGACAAAGTTCCTATCCCATTTTATATCCTATTCGGTATCTTATATACTCAACATCCTATTCTAGATCCTATTCAAGTGAATATAATTATGCACATACAGATAAGTTATTCTAATATAATTTTAGAGGTAAAAACGGGCTTTAAAAGATCATTTATCATAGCCTTTATGTTTGAGGAAAGTAACTGATTCATGAAGTAAAGAGGCCGGAAGTCATCTAGCTAATGATTCTTAAGCCTGAGTCAAAGTCCTAGAACTTGTCAAAAAATAAACCTGTATTCTTACCCACCTAATCATCTCTGAACCAGGATTAATAAACACTGAAAAATAATGCTGAGTCAGTAACAAGAATACGATCCCAGCATGGAAGCTGGCAATGACAACGCAAAGCTAACAGAGCCCAACGAGATTCGCCCAGACTGTGGAGGGATGTCCTGTCAGATGTGAGGCTCCAGTAATATCACTACAGAACCAAACAGACTGAAGAAAGAGTTTAAAGACAGATTAAAGAACAGTTTCAGGCCACACAGTTTAGCTGTGAACTGTTGGGAAAATCCCACCTCCCGGTTTATTCTCCGTTCTCGGCTCCCTATGAATGGTACACATCCTAAACTTATTTTGCTTCAGTGGAGCTTTGATTAAATCCACAATGTAACAACAAACAGCATTTCTGTGTGTTTACTACATGCCAGAAACTGTGGCAAGCATTTAAAATATTTTATCTCATTTAATTCCCATGACAATCCTATTCCTTTCTCAAATTCCAGATGGGGCTTAGAGAGATTAAGCAATTTGGTCAAGATGCTGGTGGAACCAAAATTCAACGCCAGGCAGATGGCCCTGATTCCAGTATCCTATTCCTAACCATTGTGCCCTACTGCTGAAGGCAAAGGAAAACTACGGTTGCAAAAGGCACCTGAACAGAATGCAGGTCAGTTCAAGTGAACTCTGTGTCTGGGAGGTTCACAGAAATACCTTCTCTTACACCAACACAGATAACTCTAGCATCATCTCAGACCCAAAGCCCATTTCAATTACAAAAGGTGACAAAGACTGGGATATACTAAGAGAAGATAACTTCTCTATTAAGATGTACTGTCCACTGCTGCTGTTGAAGCTCTTCCTTTCGTCTTAGTGTGACTTTCAACCACCTTCAAATGCAAAGATGATCTATCTTCCTTCAAGCTGCTCTAACCTCCAACTAGAAGCAGATTCTATGTATGACCAACAGGATGAAAAAGAACTGTCCTTTGACTAATCTCCTTAGGCTCTTCCAATCCCTTGGGATTTCAAAACCATTTCCCTCTCTGCATGCACACTCTGCACCAAGAGGACAAAATGAGAAAAGGACAGCTGATACCTAAATACATGACAATCAAGGCTTAAAGGGCGACTGGGCAAAACACAGAAAATCCTGTCCATGAATATGCAGTTCTTTGTCAATCCTTCTTAGTGAGTGAAAGCCTACTCCTTCATCATTCTCCAGGTGTTATGATTGCTTTTGAACATTTGGGGGTATTCTCCTAGCTGCCTTGCCTCTGTTACCTTGAATGACTCCGTGAAGGATGAAACAGTTACTCCTGTTTGACCTGCAACCCAGGGACGGATTCCCTGTTGTAGGCCAGAAAAATAGAAACCAAATACCGTTCTATTCCTTTTCCAGGGATGACTTTCTCTCACAGTACATTACCAACATAACAACATATAACTACACTAATGTTTCCATGCACACTATCTTATGGGAGCGTCGCAACAGAATTCCAGGAAGTGTCTGTATCACTGTTCTCATTTTACATCGACTGAAAGCAACTACGTCCACCAGCGGGTTGGTCGGTGGCAAAGTCCAGACCACCCAGTTTTCCTGATCACGTCCCCTCTCTGACTATCCTAACAGCAGTGATGGTGAACTCCCAAGCCTTGAACTATCCTAATCCACCAGTCACCTCCGACCTTCACTGAACCACGACATGCCCTTCTGCCTCCCTTAACACACCCCCTGAAGGAACACGAGGTACAGAAAACAAGGATCGACTTCATTAAACCCCCCCACCACCACCACCACTGAAATATCACTAGGAAGTCGAAATCTTGGCACTGGTGCTCCCATCCGATCGCTAGAAGGCCTGCATTTTTTTTTTTAATGGAGCTAGGACTCGCTCAAAATGTCGCAGTTCCCTTTCGCCTATCGGCCCGACGTAACCCCTCCTGTCTCACCTCTTGATCGTAAGGCTTCGGAACACTGGATACCACGCGGAGAACTGACAGTGCAGGACATGCTCCTTCTTCATCCTCCAGCTGCCGCCGCCGCCGCCTCTCCCTTTCCTTTCAGCACCCTCCCGGAACCCAGGTCTCCCGTCCCGGAAGTACCCGCCGAGCTATTTTGGCTCAAGGACTCTTCCGGTCCATATAGTAAGGGGGTGGGGGTCTAAAAGAGAGCGAGGAGCGTCGCGGGGCGTCCTTTCAGTATTCACTCACACACGCACACACACGCACACACACAAAGTGTTCGCGTCCCGAAAAAGGAATTCCGGACGTGGTAAGAACGAGATTCTAAGACGCGCACCGCCCCGGAAGGTAATTGTCTCATGCAAGGTTACGGGCGGGGGATTCTACGGGTGCCGGGAGGGGCCGAGCGCGCATCCTCTTATCACCGCGAGGTGCAGTTGTGCCTGAAGCAGTAGCACCGGGTCTTCTGAGATTGCTGCCTCGGATTCGTGCTTTCTTCTCTCGTCCCCTTCCCCAAAGGAGTACCCTCCCCTTCACCCCACACTTGGAGTAGGTAACTGGGCGCGGGCCAATTCTGTACAGTCCCCTCTTTGGGGACGAGGGAGGGAGTACTTCTGGTGCGTGCCGGCAGCCGCACGCGCGCGTGTCCCAGTCTGCGGACTGGGCTCGTGTCCCGGAAAGCGAGGGGGCGACCGCCGCGAAGGCGCGGAAAGGAGGGCCAGTTTAGAGAAAACCTGAGACTGGGTAGAAGAGCTTGGGCTCGGGCTCTTCGGTGCAGAGAAAGCAGGAAACACCGCAGTTACCTGTTCATGTGGGTGCGGTGGTTGAAGCATCTGCAAAGGGGGGAATGGCACCTCTTTTTCGTTCTTGGAGGAGGATTTTGAGAGAGAGGGAGAGAACCCTGTCCGTCTGCTCCTGTGAAGGTAGAAGAGGAGAGAGAAATTGGGGGGAAACCGGCGAAAGGGGGAGAGGTGACTCCTTTGAGCGTGAAATTCATTTATCCCAGCCCTGCCAAAGTAGCAGCCTGGAAAAATACAGCCAGATGGTATCAGTAGCTGGGCCATGCTGGAATCGTAAGACTGGAAGAATTCTAGTCTAGTGAAATTTGCAGTATCATTCTTTTCCCTCCTCTTTTCTCCATCACTGTTATTTTCCTTATTCCTTCCGTGATGATGTATCAGATGGCGACCAGACAATAGAATATTTTAGAAGTTCACTTTTGTTTGTTTCTGCAGAAGAATCAGATTCTAGCTGCTGAGTAAATTTGACTTGGGCTTGTCCCAGTCACGTCTGTCTAAGGGCACACATTTTAGGTACCTCGTTCAAACGGCACACTCTGGTCCGTCTGAGCAGTTTTAGATTAGAAAGAGGGGGGAACCCCACCTTCTACAGGCCTCTTCAGAAAAGTATTCATTAGGATAATTATAGGATCCTCTGCCTATTTGGAGTTAGAAATTCCTCCCCCAAAGAGCTTCATGTTTTGTTTTTCTCAAAAATGTTACTGGCTAAGTGGTTTAGTTGGGAGGATCATTTTTAAAGATACGTTTTTCAAAGCAGGGGTAAGTTACAATGTTGCAGTGTATGCTGGGGGAGGGGCGGCAGTAGTTTTTCCTAAGGATTTCTGAGATCCAGGATTATGTAGTGCTTTCTGTTTCGAGGGGGAAATGAAGCAATATTCCATAGATGTGAGAGAATTGTGCCAGACTGCCAGATCTAAGGGAAACCTAAAGCTGAATGGAGCAATCACTCCAGATGTTCGTTTTGATTTGACCTAGGAATAAATAGGTTGCTGCTGAAGGAATTATTAGCATTGATGAGGCGAATTAGGGTAAGGTATTTTATGTTGTAGATAGGAATTAATAGATGTATAGAAGAAAGTAGAAACTGGGAATATAGTCCTTCTGGGAGGAGTAATATGTTAACAGCCCAGGAAACTTGAGTGTAGAGGTAGAGGCAACTGCAAAGCATTAGTACAGAACTGGTTATTTGTAGAGAAGCAGCCAAGTTTGTAAACTTAAATATAAACACTACAGGGACGGAATTTGTTACAGATGTCTTTTATTTGAGCTATATACTTTAAGTGAGTTTGGTTACTTTTTAGTATTACAGTTGATTTTTTAAGTTAACTAGTTACACATTTAACTAGCCTCAAAAAAATCAACATTACAAACGGATGCTCTTTGTTGTGAATGGATACAGCTAAATTCCCTTTGATTATTTTATAGCCACCATGTTTGTCTTTTCTTCACTTAGCCATGAAGTGTTTATTCTCAAGTTTCTTCAATAAAACCTTTACAACAATGGAAATAGTTGCTTTTTCTCATGCATGCCTAAAAATATCAGTAGCTAAATGATTGTGGGGGAGGAGGGTTATTGTGTAATTTTAAATTAAATAATGGAAAACATTTCCTGCCCTAAACCCACATGACTAATCCTTCTAAATTAATACTTCCATCTACCTGCTGGTTTTATCCACTTGGATATCATATCAACATCTCAAACTCAGTGTGTCCATATTTAAAGACTGTACCACCCCTTTCTCCTGAAGCCCCAAAGTCCTTTAAGAACTTCTTCTTGGAATTAGCTTTGAAAACCCCTTCCATAGACACTGGTTTAGGACAAGTAATAAAGTTTCATATGCAAGGAATTAAGTCTGTTTCCTTGCCACCGCTACCACCCTAGACCAAACCTATGGTATCTCTTGCTTGAGCTATTGCAAAAGGTTCTTTACTGGTCTCATTGTACAGCTGTAACCAATTAACCCTCCCAAGGGTAATTAGTCCACAACCCAAACTAAAAGTAATGATTATAAATCACCAAGTAGCGTCATTTCAGGAAAATGTTACCTCTCTGACCATCCAACCCCACATCTGCCAGAAAAGAAAAGAAACTTGGTGGCTTTCCATAACTAACAAATTACAGGAAGTCTTCGGTATCTGAGGATAATTGTCAGCAAAGGAGAGTTCACTTAAAGTGGATCCATTTGAGATGGATACCAAAATTTTGCCATAAGTGGTACAAAAGAAGGAATGATCAAAATATCTTTTAAAAAATTAAGTTTTTAAAATTTTTATGATTATAACCAAGACCATTAAATATACCTATCCCAATTGATTACTTATTTATTATAAATCACGTGGCTTTTCTGTGTAATTATTCTGAAAGAATGTGGAATGACATCTTGGACAGGCCTAAGCATTTGATGCTTGACTTACACAGTCATAAAGTTATTTTTGCAAAAATTAATCCTCTCCCACTTAATTTCTTTCAAAATGCCTTATTGGAAATATCTCAATCCAATTATTAAACTGTTCCAACTGCCTGACCTTGGTCAGTCAGAAGCTTTGCTTGTGATTTGAGCTTCTACACCTTTTATTTGGTTGAACGTAAACGATGTTTACAATACTCAACTTTTATCTGGGAGAGAGTCGCCAGCATGTTATTTCTTGATTTTTTTGCTTCACTTTGCAACCTCAGCAAACCGTAGGGATTCCAGTATGGTAATAACTGAATAATGAGAAGCCTGAGTGCAAACTCTGCCCCCACTTAACCTGAATTCAGCTGTTGTTACTAGTACTGAAATACCCAAGATTATGAAAAAAAATCATTTTTCTTCCTCCCTTCAGTGGGGAATTTTTAAGTGCTATCCCCAAGAGGCGCTTACATAGTAGAAAGAGCTTGTGGCATGCCCGCGTTTTGGGGCTCTTTATTTGCCCGCAAATTTGGGGGAGGGGGCAGGCATCAAGCCAAATCTGTGTAAGCCCTTAGAAATGTGTTTGCATATGTTAACATCACCCATCATGTGGGGTTAGTTTGCTGGGGGTGGGGGGGGGGGGCGGAGATTGAGAACCACAGAGCTTGCCAAACTCTACTATAGTAATTTCTCAACCCTTCCCCTAATTCGTGTTTGTTTTTCATGTGGTTCCTTCCTGAAATGCTTTCCCTGTCTTGGTGTCTAAATCATATCTTAATATCAAAAGGCCTCTTAGTAGTGGTAGACTTTTCAAAGTCTACTACTTTCCCTGCCTCCCAAGTGGATGTGATTTGTTGCTCACTTAAAACACCCTGGTACTGCTTTATCTCTGTAATAGGCATTTACCATTCTGGTTCCTTGCGAGTCCAACTATGAGGTCCCCAAGGGCAGGATTATGGGTCAGTTTGCACTGTGTGTGTTTCAAACATTTGAACTGCCCCTCTCATAAAGTCAGTTAACCTCCTGCCTACCACCGTATGGCAGTTCTAAGAATCCTGTGATATCTTCCCTCATGAGACTTTCTGGTGCCGTGGAAAAATACAGCTAACATATCATAGACCTTCAGTGTTCAGACCAAATGAAAACTACGTAAAACAGATTATGTGAGTTAAAACAGACGAACACAACATTATGTACACGGGTATTATTTTAAGTATAACATGTACATCTTAGCAGCTTAGCAGCAAAATGTAAATGACTTGAAATTCTAGCTAAGGAATTGGATAAAATTTACATTACACTTTACTTTCAAATCTGAAAATAGGATGGAGTCAGCTAGGAAAGCTCTATCACAGTCACTGAGACAGGAGTGTTCGGCGTGCAATGGAGCCTTGTTTCTTTCTGTACTGCCTTACTTGTAGGGACCAGTCCCCACATGGCACCATTTAGCTTCCAGTTTTGAAATGTTGCTAAAAATAATATTCTTTTTTCTGTTTCAGTAGTATTTTTGAGATGCTTTTATAATCTTGAACATTTTGGGAATCACAGAATAAAGAAATTATTTTGAAATCACCCTTTAACCACATTTTTTGGTTATTTACACTGTCAGCAGATTGCTTCAAAATACTGTTGCCTCTTGGGGCTGATTGCATTCCAATTACCCTGGAGAGGCTCAGCCCTGCTTCCCACTTTTTTTTCCTTTTTTGTAATTTATGTCTGTAGTTTGTTGTCTTCCTAGCTCTCTAACAGTCTAGCTTAAATATTTTTTTTAATACAATCTGTTTGAAACAACTGTTTATAGCTTAACATTTGCTGACCAAAACTCCCATCTTTTGATTACTGAGACTGGTATAATAGAGTTTAACTAAACTGGTTAAATGATGGATCATCCTTCAGAATAGTACTTTTCCACCTTTTGACCATCAACAATCCCTTTTACAGTCTGGAGGAGGCTATAAAGAGATAAAGATAAGGGGGCCTAGCAGATAATTT